CACCCTTTTAAACGGTAACTGTAACACAATACAGTTACTCATATTATTGTAAATACGTAACGTCGGTACATGTATTCTGTTGCTCCCCAACAATCAGCTTTGATGAGCACATCAAGCTTTGTAGCCACTATTTTATTTTATCTGAGAGCTGATTCATTTATCTTAAACTGAAATATTAGAAAACATCCTTGTCCTTGAACGAGTGGAGAAACTCCGCTAAACATTTAAGTGCTGCTCATCCTTTATAAGTGCAGTGACTGCTGTGTTCTTAAGCGACCTTTGAGTGACAATGCTGAGTGAAATGTTCAAAGGCTTGCTGTGGGATGTTCTGGTGAAAGTGCATTCGCACAGTCATTTTCTGTTGTTAATTCATTGCACTTACATTTTTTGTGCCACACATCTTTTAACATTAATACCTTTACTGTGTTTATGTCACTTACACAGGATCAGCTACAAGACCGCCTACAGGAGAGGTGTAAGGACCATGTACAGACGGCGCTCTCAGTGTTGTCCAGGCTTCTATGAAAGTGGAGAACTGTGTGTTCGTAAGTGCTGCAGATTCCTTAACACCATTTTAGCCTTTGTGTCTTTTCTACAACCGGAGTAAATCACTTGACCTCAAACGGATTCAATTCAGTTTTATTTTTACAATCAAATCACAACAACAATGGTTCAAAGTGCTAGATTGTAAGGTAAAGGTCCTACAATCATACATAAAAGACCCAAGAAGAAAACTCTACATATGATATGAGCCCCTATGAGCAAGCGCTTAGGTGACAGTGGGAAGGAAGAACTCCATTTGAACTATTCTCTCTCTTTCAGTAACCTGAACACTGATGAACTTTTTTCTCACCAAATAAATGTCACTGTTGGACTTGTTTAGACTGATTTTGTTCTCCTGGTTTGATCCCCAGCTCCCTTGTGCGTCTGAGAGTGTTTTCACACCTATAGTTTGTTTAATTCCTGCCCGAATCAGTTAATGAGTTTGTAAACTCATTACGTCTGAGAGTGTTTTCACACCTATAGTTTGTTTAATTCCTGCCCGAATCAGTTAATGAGTTTGTAAACTCATTACTACAAACCACATGTTCAGTCTGCTCACTGGGCAGATGTGGCTGGGGTGGGAGCAACAAAAGTAAATAGAGGAAGAAGTTGGTGAGTTCTTAACGATTGGAGAACACGGCGAATGTACGTTCATTAGACGGCTGCTTCCTACAGTCCTTTGCACATCTACAGCACCTATCCACATCGAGAATGTAAAGCATGCGTGACTATGAGGCCTTTTTTAGCCAAACTTGTAATGCAGACCTGTCAGTTGGTGAAGATCAAGGTTGGGTTACGTTCACACTGTCCAGATAAAACTGTACCAAGACTATCTGGTTTGTTTGGTCTGGACTTGAGTGCAATTACTTTGTTCATAGCTACACAAATGAATCAAAGCAAGGGTGAAAATGAAGCACTTTGATATAAACAGACAAAATACTCCAGGTCTGTAAACAACCTAGCTCACAAGTAGGGATGGGTATC